GGGGGGGGGGGGAGTTCTTGTTTTCTTGCTAAAATAAAGTTGGTAGTAGCTTCTAGGAGCTATCATATGAAAACAGCTTGCTTGGAAATAAGGCCAAAACCAGAAAACAGATCCTGATAACCTTGACTGGTGGATGCAGCCATACCTTACCTGGAAAGATAACCCGTAGGCTTTTTGCATCAACCAAATGAAGTCCTTAATAAGCCAGTCTGAATTGGTTTTATCACTTGCAGCTAAAAGAACCCTGAGTCTAACAACATGGCAACACTAAAAATAAACATAACTGCTGTTAGGGTTTCTAATGGATCTCCCTTCCTGTGTACGTTGTCTCATTGAAAACTCACAACTCAGGAAAGCACACATCTATCACCATTAGGCTAACATTTATTATTTTTTGAACACATGCTATGTGGAAGAGAGATGAAGCCTGCCAAGGGGTGACCAACCTGAAATATGAATACCAGGGAAGTCTCACTTCCAGGGGAGAACAGTAGAGGTTACACATCTCAGGGCGCTCACTAGACATACAGCAAATGAAAGAATATAGGGTATCCAGTAGAGCCAGAAGGTGATCCTTGCCACAAGTCCTGGGTGATAAATTAGGAGGCTTCTGAAAGAGCACAGGTCAGGGACGATGACCCTCAAACAGGTGGTGTTGTAGCAATAGCTCAAACAATAGGACACACAGATGCAGTCAGGTTAGACGGGGGGCGGGGTCCCTAGCTGGCTGCAGCTGTTGCCACTGAGGAAGGGAGAGAAGGAAGGGGCAGAGTTTGGGAGGCAAGGAAAAGACAAAGTAGGGCCAGTTAAACATGCTTATAGGATATATAAGCAAAGAGGTCCAGCAGGCCTTAGAATGACAGGTCTGGGCTGCAGAGAGGCTGAGACTGGAAATTGATGAAGGCTGGCATATGGATGGCAGTTCAGGCGTGGGCACTGCCCTCCAGAGCCTCGCAGAGAGGAGGGGGCTGGCCACCTCCCCCTCAAGGGAATCTCAGGCCTACAGGTGAGCCCATGAAAACAGGCCTTCCCCCAGAGAGGGGTGGCACCCAGTAACTATTTGAAATGACAGACTGTGCAGAGCCAGGGCACTAAGAGCATGCTGCCAGCTACCTGCAAGCTTCCCCAGGCACCCTCCCAGGTTAGAGCTGCCAGTCATGACCGCTACACTGGGTGCAGTGTCAATATTCAGTTCACCTCTTAAATGAGTTCATGCTCTCACATTAGGTGTAATCGCAGCTGGCGACGCTTTCTGGGGATAATTTTTGTGTCACTTTAATTTAATGTAAAATTCCTGCCTGTTCGTGGCCCTTTCCCTTTGTCCTGGCTGAACGCAGTGACTGCTACAGGCCTCTGAACAGAGGTGGGGTCAGAGATGGGGTTCCCCTCAATCCCAGGTAACACTTTAAAGACCCATCAATGTCTCAACGTAACAAAAGGGATTGAGAGCTGAAAGGCGTGGCAGGAGGAGATTCCAAGACAGGTCTCCTGGCTTGTGGGAGAGCGTACCCTAGGGGGCGGCAGACTCCTGGAAGAGACTGAAAGGAGGTGCAGTCATTCCGCGCCCAAGGCTTGCGTCTGTCGGCTGCCAGTCGCACCTCTGCTCTGGCTCAGCTGAGCACCCAGGTTCAAGGTCGCCGGGTTGTGACGCCACATGCCCGGTGGGCACCATCCCAACCTGCCTCTGCTTGGGGTCTCGAGCCTGTGCCTTTGCTTTGGACTTGACTGAGAGGTCCACTCACTCTCCCGTTAACTGCTTGCATTCACCATTCAAGGTCTCCGCACTCCACACTTCCTCCTCCCATCTCCGCCACAGCTCCTCTCTCCTTCCACTTAGGAAAAGCTGTATTTTTATGTTCACGTTTGTGGCTACAAGGTTCCAAGTCAATACTTGACACGAAAATTCATTTAGCGTCAAAATTACCCTTGAGAAATTGCCCATAAATGACAAGATTTCGTGTCTACACTCAAGGCAATGATATGCAGGCACCCGTGGCTGAGACATGCTAAAAAAGGTGCACACAAAATAAAAAGTAAGGATGCAAAGTACACATGTTTAGGGAAAGAGAAAATGGTATCTGGTAAAAGGGCCTGCGTGTGACGCCAGTGTGCTTGTCACTGCCTTGCGCCGGGCTGCTGGAGGCACGCGGGCAGGCCTCGTCTGATTTTGCTCGCCACGGCCTCCTCAGCGCCTGCCCCAGGGCTGGCACTTCCTACATGCTCAATGATCTAGCCTGAATAAAGGAACCAACGAAAGAAAGAATGAATGAATGAATGAATGAATGCACGCTGAATCCGACTCCATGGCGAGCACAGCAGGCTCTTCGCGTGACGGACAAGGGCGTCGGGTCCAGTTCCGTTCTCGTGGCCGTGGGTTGGGTAAGGTGAACGCGGAGACACAGGCCTCGAGTCCTGGCCCAGCCAGGTCCTGGCAGCAGCACGTGCGCCCTCCCCGAGGC